GCACAGCATTTTAACAGGCTACTCAGGAATTTCTGCTCTTTTTTTAGCCTCCGGCTCACACATTTTTGTCTTAGCTCAGGAAGGGATGGCTCCAGAGCCAACTAATTTATGCAGCAGCCAAATCACGTGCTCATGACTTTGATGCCAGGAGCTCACAAAGTAGAATTTTTGCTCACAAGACTCCACAGCTTAGAGGGAACATTGGTGCTGGCGCACAGCATTTTAACAGGCTACTCAGGAATTTCTGCTCTTTGTTCCCAAGGCATTTTTTTCCTCCATTGGAAACAGTGGAGGACTGGGGCACCTCCGTCTGGGGCCCATAGAATTGGACCCCCTGACCCAATCTTTTTGAAACACGGGGAGGCTTTTGAGGAGAGGCACCAAATTTGCAGCATAGCTGCTGGTGCCTGTACCTCAAAAAACAGGGCCCCCCCCAGCCAGCCCCGTAGCTAGGGATTTTGGGGGGAGGGGGCCTCGGGGGTCCCACCAGCTAATTAAATGGAAGTACAGTGCAGGTGGTAAGTTGGAGCACTTTGGGGGCGGCCTGGGAGCGAGGGGGCCCAGAAGAAACACTAGGGGGCCAGGCCCCGTGGGCCCCATGTTAGCTACGGGCCCGCCCCCAGCTCCAGATACCCCTAGATCGACTCTCTATTATAGCCTATGGGGCCACTGACTATAAAATGGTCCCCAAAGGCTACAACAGAGCTGGAAAAAAAACATTTTTTTTCCAAACCCTTATTATGCCTTTCAGTATGATTTGTAAGCTGCCTTGAGTCACAGGGGAAAGTGGGATATAAATACTTGAATAAATAAGTAGTTTGGGCAGGTTGATAACATTTAAGCAACTTCCTGTTTGTTAGGTTAGGCAGGGTTCTGACAGTAATTGTTCCTCCTCTATTATACTTGACTTGTAATGCTGGTTTGTCATATTTCACTAAAAAAAACCCAAAGTAGACTACAAGAGGTCCCCCCCCCCAGTGCTGGTATGTTTTCCAAGGCTCAGCACAGAACGATGGTCTGAGGCCAGATCTACCAATATAGTGGACTGGGGTGGGTAGACTTGTTTTCTGGAGGCCAGGTCTATCAATACAACAGTGGGAAAGGGTGGGTGAAATTTGACTTAATTCTGCTTTCTCTTATAATGTTTATATTATTCTTAAAATATAAGTTTAAATGTAGTCTAAAATAATTTATTCTGAGATTTTTACAAGGTTATGGAAGCAATTAAAAAAAACTAATTTACATGATAGTTAAATGTAGACTCACTCACAACTGTAATGCCACTAGCTTTTTTCGCTCACGAGGTAGAATTTCTGCTCACAACACTGCAGCGCTTAGAGGGAACATTGTTGTTCACTATTACAATGAAACACTGAACAAAGTACCTATTTAGCAGTAACAATGAGCACATTGCATCTATGTTTTTGTGGGCGTTAACAGTGTTCCAGATGCATTATCTTGTTGGAATCTTACAACCGCCCTGCAAAGCAGGTCAGTATTATCTCACTGTCACAGACAAAAGGCTGAGGGAATAACAACTTGCCTAACGCCACTTCGTGAACCCACAGCATGGGCAATTTCTGATTTGTAGTCCAGCCTCTTGGCCACTAAGCTCTGCTAACTCCGATAAACCCATTGCGTAACTGATCCGGCATGAACTGCAGCCCGCTGGTTTCGGCTGTCATCTTTGAACTGTGTTCCTAGCTCTCCTGACTGGTGAACAGTATGCCCAAAATGGCTCAAACCCCCTTCGAACCCTGCCTCCCTAACCTACGTCACAGCCCTCAGCAGCCAAATATTTCAAGCCAGTGCCTCTGTATTCTACCCCTTCCTCAGATCTATAATTTCCTCCCTCCAACCAGTCCAGAATGCCTCCACCGGACTGCGTTCTCCCTCTCACCCCCCTTCTCATCATGCTCTGCATCTCCTTCAAAAGCCTCTAGGCCTTTATTTTCAGACTTCTTCACCTCTCTGGGCCAGACGGCTTGTCCTCCAAGGCCCCTCGGGCCTCCCCTCCCGTCTTGCGAAAGGACCCTCGACTCCCACCCAAACCTGCCTGACAAGGATCTTGATTGGAGGCTCTGCTGGTACCTCGATTTTCAGAGGAAGGGGAAGGAAGGGCCTGCTAAGGATTTTCAGGGGAAGGGCCTGCTAAGGACAGAACTTTCTCTGTTGTGGCCCTTTGCGATCGGAAAGCTTCCCTCCACACCCACACCTTGGCCCAGTGCCAAACTTTATGTCCTTCTGGTGCCAGGTTAGGACTCCAAGGGCTCAGGAATTGTCAGATTGTTAAAAAGTGTTCTTCCTTCTGCTCTTTTCTGGTTGCTTCTGCTACTCTGGCTGGACATGCTTATATGCTTTTCACTGCTATTTTCATGATTCTTGAAGCTGGTTTTCCGAGGCAGCTTTTTCTTTAGTATAACTGCTGTGATTCTAGTGACTTGGCTCCGGCTGTCTTAGTTTTATGTAGGCTTTATTTGTTGCGCATTATATTTTGACATTCTTGGGAACTGCCTTGGAAGCGTCGGTTCAGAGATCCAGCGTGTAAGTATCTCTCCTTATATGTAAAAGAGTTTTGGTGTCCCTCCTGCACACGCTCCCGCAGCCTTTCGCTCTTGCACCTGCCAGTCTGAAGGATCCCCTGGCTGCATTGGCTGGCTCCCTTGCCTCCGTCCCGCCCACAGAGGCGCCGAGCCGGCCGGCGTCATCTCTGGCTCACTGTGCTTTGAGCCAGCCGAGGGGACGGGTGCTCTGGTGGACGGAGGGTGAGCAGGCCCACTGGGAGAGGCAGAGAAGAGGCACAAGAGCCCACACAGGGCGGCGACTGCTGCTGCGGCAAGAGGCCGCCCCTCCGCAGACAGCCGTCGTTGTCTCCTCTCTGACCCCGGTGGCAGGAGCTGGGATGCAGGTGGCAGCGGAACAGCTATGCTCTACCCGCCACTGCGCCCCACGGACGAGGCCGCCGCCGCCCCTTCTCCCGAGGGGTGGGCTGGCAGGCGGCAGCCCAGCTAGAGCTCGTTGCATTTGTCTCCGCAATGGGACTTCTTCCTAGTTTTAAATAAGTTAATGTCAGACAGCATTTGCCTTGTTCCCCCCACTCCTCCCTCTCTGTATTAGGAAGTCCTCTAATGTTGCAGAAGAAGAAGAGGTTGGATTTATAACCCGCCCTTCGCTACCCGAAGGAGTCTCAGAGCAGCTTACAATCCCTTTCCCTTCCCACAACAGACACCCTGTGAGGTAGGTGGGGCTGAGAGAGCTCTTTCAAGAACTGCTCCTGAGAGAACAGCTCTGAAAGAACTTATGACTGACCCAAGGTCACACCAGCAGCTGCATGTGGAGGAGTGGGGAATCAAACCTGGTTCTCCCAGATTAGAGTCCGCACTCTTAACCACTACACCAAACTTTGCCTGTGCCTTCTCTTGGCCTCTTCCCACAAACACACTTAACCTCCTCTTGTTCGCTCCCTCAGTGCTGCCTGACAATCCTAACCCAGCTCCACAACTCTCTACCTCTTGCCTATTTCCACCAAGTCTTGACTACAAGGCATGATTTTATCAACTGCTTCAAGTGCTGCCCAAAGGCTCAGTTCAGGCAACACACACCCCCAGTCCAAACTAGGATTTGGAGGACTGTGAACAAACTGGTCCCTGCACCCTCATCACACCCTAGATGAAGATCCCAGTACCACACTTTGCTGTGACCAAGAAACAGAACCCAGGATAAACTATGCAGATCACAGCAGGCTCAGCTGAGCTTTGTGGAGCCAAGCAGATTATTATTATACAGCCCAGAGGGAACTAAAAACCCACCCCTTAGCCCTGATGCTGAGAGGGAGAAAAGGAACTGATCTGGCTTCTATCCATGGTGCTCCCAAGCGCACCCCCATTACGTCCTGCCATTGAAGTGAACAGCATCCACCGGTTATGCATTTTTACCTCACCTCTTCCCAAGGGAACTTGGGAGCAGAAAATATAGTTCTCCAAAGCCTCGTCTTCTGCCTCAGCACTGTTTATCCCCCACTCATGGGGTGGGATGCAACTGTTCCTTAGCAATGTGTGCACAGAGATATGTGGTATTGCATGCACACGCCTAGAAGACTTTGCACACGCCTAGAAGACTGCAATAGACAGGCTTCAGGCCACCTACCTTGTTATAAGAACAGGAATGTTGCAAATGCTATCAACAGACAGTAACTGCAATGCGGGTACAGTTATTATTATATGATGTCGTACCAGAATTAAACAGCTACTGCTGATATAGACACCATACAATGGTGTTTTCTGCATTCTCATTTCCCTCACTTGTGTATTTCTGTTGCTTGGGGAGGGGGAGGTCAGTTCCATATGTGTTTTACTCCCTCTAGTGATCGATTTGATATTACATCGCTTTGTGTCCGGCATAAAAACCCATAGGTTTTTATGCCGGACACAAAGCGATGTAATATCAAATCGACCACTAGAAGGAGCAAAACACACATGGAACAGAAACTCCAAAGCAAGGAAAAGCCCAATATCACAGGCACTCGAATACTTCAAATCCTGCAGCTTTCCCCCCCCCTTAAAAAAAAACCCCTTCAGGACAAGAGCTGTGTGTTAGTCCAAGAGATGTGGTTGACTCAGCGTACCCATTTTCCTTTCCACCATCCTCTCCCTTCCATCCCTGGTCCTGAAGTACCAGCACAAAAGTCAAATGAGGCTCCATCTACACATTATGACTGCTGGGGGACAACACAAGGACTTTGTATCACATGTACGACGTGACGTTTGTGCCACCAAGATACCCACTGTCCCTTTCCTGTTTGCCACCATGGCAGCCGGGCAGATGTGGCTTTAGGGCCCCTCCCCCGCCAGTTTCTGCATCTACAAACTGTCTGGTGGAGCTGCTGTTGGCTCTGCTGTGAAATCCATATGTAGCCCCCTAAGAAGCATCGTTCTTACAGTGAAGCCACTGGCACTTCTGTGGTATGGAAAACAAATTGGGGTGCCTGATCGGATACCTACTGCAAGAGAGCTTTGTGATTGGATCCTTGGATAACAGATAGAATTCGCTCCAACTTCTCCCCGGTGATGTGATCTGTAGGCAAGAAAAGGACAAAAGGCTGCTAATAACTCAGTCCTTCACTCAGGACCTTTAAAAAAAAAACCCTAAAAACAGACTAGCAACCTGCTGCTATTTCCTGACAAAATCTAAATGGCCTGAAGATGACATCCATGCACAGGAGAGTAAGAAAGAAACCCAGGGCTGTAATATGATATAGAAGAAGGAGGAGGAGGTGCAGGAGGAGGAGTTTGGATTTATACCCCACCCTTTACTACCCGAAGAAGCCTCAGAGTGGCTTACAATTCCTTTCCCTTCCCCTCCTCAGGACAGATACCCTGTGAGGTAGGTGGGGCTGAGAGAGTCCTTTGGAGAACTGCTCTTGAGAGAACAGCTTTCTGAGAGAACTGTGGCTTGCCCAAGGTCATCCAGCAGCTGCAAGTGGAGGAGTGTGGAATCAAACCCGGTTCTCCCAGATTAGAGTATGTGCACTTAACCACTACACAAACTGGCCAACACACACACTTACTTACCGAATGTTGTCTTCTCTATCAGTTTGCCTGTATCCGAGAAGTCATCAGTCGCTTTGCCAAACAGGCCACGAACTGTGTAGGTCTTTTGAAAAGGAGAAAAACCATGCATTAAAAGCAAGATTATTCCTTTAGGTTCTAATTCTAGTATACGTCCCAATCATTGCATGCAAAGATAGTGCAACCAGACCAAAATATTTGACAAGGTACTTTGCTCAAAAGTTTCTGTAACAAGCTGGGACTCAGTAGGAGACAACTAAGACATTTGGAGACTGTTGCCTCGTAGAATGGCCAGGGTGGAGACTGAAAGGTGATCTAATTTTCTGCAAAAGGGGCGGGCCGTCTTCATTCACAAACACCCATAAAAAGAACAGCATTAAGAAAGGCATTCCCTTAACGTCTCTCATTTTAACTCAATCCTTTTTAAACTTAAACTCTTTTTTTTTTGCGATTAGAAAAAGCAGTTAACATATCACGTCAATACAGACCATCAATTTGGATTTGAAGTAGTGTAGAAATATGACCTGTTTAAAAAAAAAACCCACAAAACCTTCACTCTTCTTGATCCCAGATTTTTATTTATTTAAGAAAATGCCCATGCAGCCTTTCCAGGGACCTACTTAAGGTGGTTCCTAAAGTAAGAACAGCCCCGATTGAAGGTCCCAGAGGGTTGCCAGCTCCAGGTTGGAAAACTCCTGGAGATTTGGGAGTTTCGGAGTGGAGCCTGGTGAGGACAGGGAGCCAGGGATGCCAGCCTCCAGGTGGGACCTGGGGGTCCCCTGGAATTACAGTTCATCTCCAGAGATCAGTTTCCCTGCAGAAAATGGATGTTTTGGAGGGTGGACTCTATGGCATTATACCCTCTGAGGTCCCTGTAAACCCCCCCCCCCCAGGTTCCATCCCCACAGCTCCAAGAGTTTCCCAGTCTGGAGCTGGCAACCCTACTCCCCCATCCCCCCCCAGTGGACGGGGAGGGGGGCCCTGGCAACCCTACGAGGGAACTCAGTGGGATAAAGAGAGCCAGTTTGGTGTAGTGTTTAAGTGCGCGGACTCTAATCTGGGAGAACCGGGTTTGATTCCCCACTCCTCCACCTGCAGCTGCTGGATGACCTTGGGCAAGCCATAGTTCTGATAAGAGCTGTTCTGTCAGAGCTCTCTCAGCCCCACCTACCTCACAGGGTGTCTGTCGTGGGGAGGGGAAGGGAAAGGAGTTTGTAAGCCACTCTGAGACTCCAAGTGAAGGGCGGGGTATAAATCCAATCCCCACCCCCTCCTCCTCCTTCTACAATGCCATAAAACCCACCCTCCAAAGCTGCCACTTCCTCCAGGGGGAACTGATCTCTGTAGTCTGGAGATGAGCAGTAATACTGGGAGATCTCCAGGCTCCACCTGGAAGCTGGCATCCCTAACTTAGGTCCAGGAAAATCTCTTACCCTCAAAATGTAGTTTAGTGTAGGGTTGTTTAGGGTCGCCAGCCTCCAGGTGGGGCCTGGAGATCTCCCGGAACTTACAAATGATCTCCAGAAAACAGAGATCCCAATGGAGAAAATGGCGTCTTTGGAAGGTGGACTCTATGGCATTCTATCCCCCTGAGGTATCCCCCCTCCAATGCTCCCCCTAAGCTGTGGAGTCTTGTGAACAAAAATTCTACTTTGTGAGCTACTGGCATTGAAGTTGTGAGCAAGCAATTTGGCTGCTGCATCCATTAGTTCGCTCTGGAGCCGTCCTTCCTGAGCGGAGACAAAAATCTGTGAGCCGGAGGCTAAAAAATGGTGAGCTATCTCACACTAACAGCTTAGAGGGAACACTGGTTGTGGGTAGCTTCCCCCCCCCCCTTTAATTAATCCGTTTATTTCACTAGTTTTCTTGACCACCCTTCCCCGCTTATGCTGGGCTCAGGGCGGTTCACAACAAAATAATTCAATACATTATAAAACCAACTTGAACCATAAAAACCCAATATTAAAAACATTCAAACATAAATATTTGAAAACCTTTTAAGAACAAGATGGCATATCTAGCATACAGTTTTGGGGGAGGGTGCCGGGCAGATGTAAGGAACCGTTGCTGGCCTCAACCAAAGGCCTGGTGGAACAGCTCTGCCTTACATGCCCCGGGAAACTTTAATAAGTCAGACAGGGCACCGAAGTCATTCGGCAGAGGGTTCCACCAGGCTGGGGGCCAGGGCTGAAAAGGCCAGCCGGATACCTTTGGGGCCGGGAACCACTAGAAGGTTCTTATCTGCTGATCTTAATGCCCTTTGTGACGAAATGGCTGCCAGGCAGAGGCAGCAGTACCTAAAATGGATGCTATCCTGGTAGTCCTTACAAGGGGGAAAGTACTCCATAGGGAACAATGGAGCTGCCGTACCTCCCTGCCTACACTTCCCAGCAGCCTTGAGGGAAAAGAGTGGGAAAAGATGGACACAGCCCAGGGGCGGGGCCAAGGAGATAAAGGTTTTGGCTCCTGAGGGGGGGGGGAGTCAGTCTCCGCCTGGTCTTAGCCTGGTTTTCAGCGTGGAGGGCAGTTTCCAGCAGGTGTACAGGTGGGGGCTCCTGTAACCTCAGACTCCGTGGTCAGTCCAGGCCACTATAAACCGTGGTGGACAGCAAGGAGGGTAACGGTGCTGGTAACCAGTCCAGGGAAGGGCTGCGGTTTCCACTCCAACAACGAGGAGGGGGAAAGCAAATCCTGGCCTGAGGCCACAACCCACTACAGAGGTAGAGAGGGTGTGTGTAGGGGCAGAAGAACTGCGTTTCGATCCTGTTTAATTTCTGTGCCCAGGTTATGTTGAAGTGCCTGTGTTTATTTTCATGCCTGACCTGTATAAATAAATCTTCCTTTTCGAGTTTAAAAAACCTGGTGTGCCTTAACCACACAGTCCTCCCTGCTCTGCACGTTACCAGGGACAAAGGGAGGCCAGGGAACAACGCCCCCAAATCTGATGGGTTGCCAACTCTCCAGGGGGTGCCCAAAGATCAAGGTACCCTCTTCCCAAGGTGGGGAAATCAGCCAGAGGGGTCCCACTGTCCCTCTAGGAAGGTGGTGTCGATTCAGTGAGTGGTGGCAGCGTGTAACGGAGAGAAATAGCCCCACCAGGCAGGGTGGGAGGCCAAAACAGGGGCTTGCGAGCCACAGGACGGCACCTCAGTCTCCCAGGACTGAGGGCGGGTCCCCGTTTCGCCACACTCTTCTTGCCCTTTCTTTTGGTTAAGTCAAAGCCATTTTTTCCTGCATAGCTGGGGAGCTCCCCCCCCCCCCCCCCCAACAGAGATGCCTGTTTTATCTGTGGATGACCTGGCTTCATCGCTTTCATGATCAGAACGAGGCCAGCCACTTTTACGTATAGTAAATATGAACATAAAATACTTACCCTGCTGAGATGGGCATCGCGCACCTCGTCAAGCAGCTGGTTTCCACGACCCACACCAAGCACTGAGAGAGAGAAAATGAAGGGGTGGCGGGGAGAAACGATTCAGCTGGCAGAGTGAAGGAGTCGGATTTGCTGACTGCAGATCCTAGGAGATTCTGGCAGATGAAGGTTAACCACACACCCGCTGCCTGCACGGTCTTCCCGAGGACAGTCAGACCGGCAACAGCTCTCTGGGAGTTCAGCTAAAGGTCTCTAATGTCACCTACAACTTTCTAAACCTGAGACTGAACCTGGGAACTTCTGCGTGCCCAGCAGATGCTGTATTACTGAGCTGCAGCCTCCTTTCCAGTCAAGACAGGTTTTGTCTGGGGAACCTGAGGCAGCAGGACTTGGGTGCATCCTTAAATGGCGGCCCGAGGGGGGGGGAGACTTTAGGAAGAAGCCGTTAAATACAATGTTTATACCCCACGGAGAAATAAGAACATAAGAGAAACCAATGCTGGATCAGGCCAATGGCCCATCTAGTCCAACACTCTGTCACACAGTGGCCAAAAATACCAGGTGATATCAGGAGGTCCAGCAGTGGGGCCAGGACACTAGGAGCCCTCCCACTGTTGCCCTCCCCCCCCAAGCACCAAGAATACAATGCATCACTTGCCCCAGCCTGAGAGTTCCTATGTATACCTTGTGGCCAATAGCCACTGATGGACCTCTGCTCCATATGCTTATCCAATTCCCTCTTGAAGCTGTCCATGCTTGTAGCCGCCGCCGCCGCCACCAATGTTCCCTCTAAGCTGTGGAGTCTTGTGAGCAAAAATTCTGCTTGGTGAGCGACTGGCATTAAAGTGGTGAGCGAGCAATCTGGCTACTGCATAGATTAGTTTGCTCTGGAGCCCTCCTTCCTGAGCGAAGACAAAAATGTGTGAGCCAGAGGCTAAAAAACTGTGAGCTGGCTCACACTAACTCAGCTTAAAGGGAACACTGGCCGCCACCTGTGGCCATGAATTCCGTGTGTTAATCACTCATTGGGTGAAGAAGTACTTCCTTTTATCTGCCAAATGTCACGGGTATTATAAGGATATTATAGCATTGGAAAAAATGCAGAAAAGGGCAACTAGAATGATAAAAGGGTTGGAACACTTTCCTATGAAGAAAGGTTGAAGCGCTTGGGGCTCTTTAGCTTGGAGAAATGACAGCTGAGGGGTGACATGATTGAGGTTTGTAAGATTATGCGTGGGATGGAGCAGGTTGAGAAAGAAGTACTTTTCTCCCTTTCTCACACTACAAGAACTCGTGGGCACTCCACGAAATTGCTGAGCAGTCGGGTTAGAACAGATAAAAGGAAGTACGTCTTCACCCAAAGAGTGAATTCACGGCCATAGGAGGTGGTGGCAGCTACAAGCATGGACGGCTTCAAGAGGGAATTGGCTAAGCATATGGAGCAGAGGTCCATCCGTGGCTATTAGCCACAAGGTATAGATAGGAACTCTCGGTCTGGGGCAAGTGATGCTTTGTATTCTTGGTGCCGGGGGGGGGGGCAACAGTGGGAGGGCTTCTAGTGTCCTGGCCCCACTGCTGGACCTCCTGATGGCACTTGGTATGTTTGGTCACTGTGTGACAGAGTGTTGGACTAGATGGGCCACTGGCCTGATCCAACATTGGCTTCTCTTATGTTCCTATGTACGGGAAGCAGAGGACAAAGCAGCAGCCACGGCCCACTGCCTGCCCCCCACAGCATGCTGGCTTCTCAAACCTTGTCATGCTGAGTATCCCTGAGCCAAAACGCAAACAGCACCAGCTTCCCCGCTCAAGATTAAAGCAGCAGCAGACCCAGGTAGATGCAGGACGTGGTTTATGGTGGTCTCCTTGAGAAAGGCCACAAGGGTGCGCCCCCAAAGATGCAAATATCTGCTCCATTTCAGGTTGCACAAATGGTGCTTGGCCCCATCCGAATTGGGCTGACGCAGTTACTAATATACATTGGGGGGGGGATGGGAGTTCCAATTGTGGGACTCAGTCGGCATCTCTGAGTAAGTCGTTCTCTATAGTGTCATGGCAGAATCAAACTGCAGTGTGTTTCAACAAGTAGGTCGTCATTTTGTTTGCTCTGTTTACATCCTGCCAAATCAGGGACCCAAATCAGCTTATGTCATTCTCATCTCCTCCATTTACCCTCACAATGACCCTGTGAGGTAGGTTAGGCTGAGAGAGCGTGACTGGCCCAAGGTCACCCAGCAAGCATCCGTGGCAGAGTGGGGATTCAAACCTGGTTCTCCCAGATCTCAGCCTGACACCCTAACCGCTATACCACACAAGCTTATACTTATTGTGACACACACACACACACACACCATTGATCCGTCTCACCCAGTGCTACCTCCAGGTCTCCATGCTCCTTCTCAACAGCCACCGCTTCTTCCAGTGTGCCACCAAAAAGATAAACGAGGAAAGAGACCATAAGGCAAAAAATAGCGAGGGCAATCTTTGACTTACCAAACACCCCAGATGATTTTGTATCCAGCCGGTGCCCTGCTCCAGTTTTCAAGTGGGTGAACACTGGTCCAGAAACTGTATAGGAAACCAGAACAGAGTCTGTCATACACAAAAATCGTAGCCTGCTGGCTGATCCTACGCATGTTTATTTGGAAATGAGTTCCACTGAATCAATGAGGCTTATTCCCAGGTAAGTACGCAGCAGGTAAGCATGTCTTCGTTTCTCTGAAAGCAACAGAAAATGGGACTACAAACCAACAAGGTAACGTCATTTGTTCCACCACTGTGTTAAACACCACATAATAGATCAAGAACTGGCAGAAATCCAGTAATATCATGTATAAGCAGGGCAGTGTGTTGCGGAGACACAGAAGCAGAAAACATCTACAAAGTATACATCATTTATACATCGGGCGTGGTCATATGCACAATTAGACCCACCATAGGCATGAATGCCAGGTGGATTTAAAGGGCGCAATCAGACAACAACATCTGGGAAGCGCCCCGCAGCCGACCTTGAAAGGAAAGCAGACCGATTTGCGTCAGACAAAGAATGTGAACATATTACAAGGCATTCCATGAGAGCGCTGCAGAAAAATAACCAGCATTACTCGGATTCAAGTTTTGGGAAAAGCATGGCAATGCTAAGTGAGAATGGTATTAACAGAAAGCATTTTACAAGGCAACTGGCCAGACTGCAGGCAGATAATAAAAAGAATGAAGACTGTGAAGAAGGTACTGTAGTTCCCGTCACAAAATCACTCAGATCAAGAGTAAATGCTACGCCTAGTAATGGTGCAGGAAAAAATGGAGATGATGAAGTCCGTCGCAGCTGCAGAATTAGACGAAGCCGTTACAGCACTATGAATCAATCAGTTCTATTTTTATGTTATTCTGCAGCCTCACTCCCACCCACCACCCACTTTATCTCGCACATGTGACCACAATCATCATTTATTTATACATCAGATTTGTTA